TGGCGGCTCCCCGCTTATGCTAATGAAGCCCGGGAAATTCAAATCCCGGGCTTCATTAGCAAGTGCGGTATGCATACATTACCCTCCTAGTTTGAACTAGGAGGGTAGTGTAGACATACCCTTAGACTGATTTGTGTACAGGTTTAGATCAATCTTATGTTCTGACAAACAGTGACTAGGAACACTATCCCCGCCCATCCTGGTTAATAGCCCTTAATGGACCTAACCTCCATGAAGTTAGCTAGTTTATTGAATCATATTGTGTGTGTTTATTTTTCACAGAGTGAGTTTCATTGCTCATAAACATTTTGGAAATCAAATCATGGTCTCTCTTTTCTCTCTGTTAGGCTGTGTCCAGACTCAGGGTTTTTTTCGGGAAAAGTAGGCTTTTCCCGAAAAAACTTCCCCTGCGCCCAGACTCAAGCCGCGTTCTTTCGAAATAATTTTGAAAGAACGCGGCTTTTCTTTCGATGGCGGTAAACCTCGTTTCACGAGGAAGAACGCCTTCTTTCGAAAGTTCCTCTTTCGAAAGAAGGTGTTCTTCAATGTAAATAGGGCTTCCTCGAAAGAGAGCATCCAGACTCGCTGGGTGCTCTCTTTCAAAAAAGCGGATTGCTCTTTCGAAAGATCCACCTGCAGTCTAGACGCGATCTTTCGAAAGAGGCTCTTTCGAAAGAAGCCTGCAGTCTAGACATAGCCTTATAGATTTCTCTCTTTTATAGATTTCCATTTTTCTTTCATAATGTTTATCACTGCACCATTACACAATGAACCAGTGTCGATGCACCATTGCCACTCCCAAGGTAAAGGGAGTTTACATGGGTGCACAATGAATCAGAGGGTGAAAGTATCAGACGGCAGAATATGTAAAGTGTGTAAAGGGAAAGCAAGTCTCTAATACCTTTTTTATAACATCAAGGACCTGCTATTCTCTTTAAATATATTTGTATTTTATTGCTCACAACATTTGAAGAAATAAACAGTCTCCCTTTTTGTCTCTCTCTCTGTATTTTCATCTTATTCTGTACTTATAAATCTCTTCGGGTATGTCTACACAGCAAAGTTATTTCAAAATAACTTTCGTAGCATCTACACACCCATTCCATTATTTCAAAATTAATTCATAATAGCAGAGGGCTTATGTTGAAATTGGTAAACCTCATTCCACGAGGAATAGCACCAATTTCGAAATTGCTATTTCAAAATAAGTGCTGTGTAGATGCTTATTTCAAAATAGGGGGCCTCCAGCCCTTCCCAGGGTGCCTGATGCCCTGCCAGAAATGGTTCCAACCAGCCTTAAAAGCGATTCAACATCCACTCAGTGAGGACGTGCTATTTCAAAATAGAAAAATGCTATTTCAAAATGTATTTTGTGTGTAGACGCATTATTTCCAAATGAGATATTTCGAATTAACTATTTTGAAATTAAATATTTCAAAATAATGCTGTAGTGTAGACATACCCTTCCCTTTTTTCTCCAGCTTTTCATTGGATGCTGCAATCAACCTCCTGGGGTTCAATTTAGTGAGTCTAGTGAAGACCTGCTAAATTGAACTGAGGGGTTCCCCCCAATCGGTGGTTGTACTCCTGCTCCTTGTGAGGAGTAAGGAAAACCAATAGGAGCATTTGCTTCCATTGACCTCCCTCTGTGTGGATGGTGATTTAAGATAAGTTGACTCAGTTATGCAATTAATGTACAAAAGCTTCAAGGGGGAGCCAAGTTAGTCTGTAACAGGAACATCTTAACAAATAGCGAACGGTCTAGCAGCACGTTAAAGACTAATAAAACATGTAGATGGTATCACAAGTTTTCACAGGTATAACCCATTTCTTCAAATGAATGGAATATTAAACGTCCAATTCCAAAATAAATAGGGGCTGGGAGGGAGAAGGAAGGGGAAAAAACAGTAGTGAATTAGAGTGTTCATGTTCGCAGCCAGTGTAGATAGGCGGCAAGATTTTGCGCAAAAGCACTTGCTTTTGCACAAAATCTTGCCAGTGTAGACACAGCCTTTATGATATGAGAATAGTAAAAGAAATGTAGCCGTGTTAGTCTGATCTTGCTGAAACAAAAAACAGGACTATGTAGCACTTTAAAGACTAACAAGATGGTTTATTAGATGATGAGCTTTCGTGGGCCAGACCCATTTCCTCAGATCAAATAGGGGAAGAAAATTGGCATGACTGTTTTGTACCAAAGGATACAATCAAAAAAATGAACACATATGAAAAGGACAAATCAAATTTGAGAACAGAGGGGGGATGAGGAGAGGAGGTAAATGTCTGTGAGCTAATGATATTAGAGGTGATACTTGGGGAAGCTATCTTTGTAATGGGAAAGATAATTAGCGTCCTTGTTGAGACCTAGATGTAAAGTGTCAAATTTAAACATGAATGACAGTTCAGAGGATTCTCTTTCAAGTCTGGTGTTAAAATGTCTTTGAAGCAGGATGCAGGTAGCTAAGTCATTGAGACAATGCCCTTTCTGGTTGAAATGGCAAGAAACTGTTTTTTCTTTGTAATCCTGTCTAATATCTGTTTTGTGGGCATTGATTCTTTGGCAAAGTGTCAGAGACGTTTGTCCAATGTACAAAGCAGATGGACACTGTCGGCACATGATGGCATAAATTATATTTCTGAATGCGCATGAATATGTGTTCTTGATCTTATAACTCAATTGGTTAGGTCCAATAATGGTTTCAGCAGAGTGAATATGTGGACAAAGCTGGCAACGGGGTTTGTTGCAAGGGAAAGTTCCGGGGTTGGTATTAGTGTGGTATGTCCTGTGGTTGTTGGTAAGAATCGTCCTAGGTTAGGTGGTTGTCTATAGGAGACTATGGGTCTGTCTCCCAGAGCTTCTCAGAGTTTAGTATCCTGTTCTAGTATAGATTGTATACTGTTCTGAAATCTGATTTGAGGTTTAAGTTGGGGGCTGTAGGTGATGACAAGTGTTGTTCTATTGTTGGTTTTCTTGGGTCTTTCTTGAAGTAGATGGTTTCTAGGTATTCGTCTGGCTCTTTCAATTTTTTTTTATTTCTCCGGTTGGGTAGTTGAGTTTTATAAATGCTTGGTAGAGATCCTGAAGTTTCTGGTCTCTGTCAGTGGGATTAGAGCAGATGCGGTTGTATTGTTCATTTTTTTTATTGTATCCTTTGGTATATATGGTTGTGACTATTTTCTTCCACTATTTGATCTTAGGAAGTGGGTCTGGCCCACGAAAGCTCATCACCTAATAAACCATCTTGTTAGTCTTTAAAGTGCTGCATAGTCCTGTTTTTTGTTAATGATATGAGTCTTCCTCTATTTATCGACATCATTTTTCCAGTAGAGAGATGCTGTAGTGTGAGGTTTGTGCCAGCGTGGCAGACAACACAACATGTCTGTGTGCGCTCCATCAATATTTAATGGTTTTTTGTCTCTAGACACAACTTATGGAGAAAGCAGAAGGAAGAAACCAAACGTCCATCGTGGAATTCATCCTCCTAGGATTTGGGAATGGCCCTGAACTGCAGCCCCTCCTCTTCCTGTTGTTTCTAGTCATCTACATTGTGACGGTGGCTGGCAACATGCTATTTGTTGCACTAGTGGTGGCTGATCAGCATCTTCACACCCCCATGTACTTCTTCCTGGGGAACTTGTCCTGCTTGGAGATCTGCTACACTTCAACCACCCTGCCCCGGCTGCTGGCCAGTCTCCTGACTGGCGACAGAACCATCTCTGTCCAGGGCTGCCTGGTGCAATTGTATTTCTTTGGTGTCACGTCAAATACAGAAAATCTCCTGCTCACGGCCATGTCTTACGATCGGTACCTAGCGATCTGCCACCCCCTGCGTTACACTGTTCTGATGACTGGCCGGGTTTGTTGCCTGCTAGTGGCAGGGGGCTGGATAAGTAGCCTACTGAGCAGCACCATAGTACAGATTTACTTGTGGCAATTCACGTTTTGTGATTCCAAAGAAATCGACCATTTCTTCTGTGATTTTTCACCCATTTTAAAATTGTCCTGTAGCGACACCCAGACTCTAGAATTGGTGACATTTATTCTTGCTGTCATAGGCACGTTTCTTCCCTTTCTACTGACTCTGACATCCTATATTTGTATAATCATCAATATCCTGAGAATCCCTTCCAACACTGGGAGGAAAAAGGCCTTTTCCACCTGCTCCTCGCACCTCATTGTGCTTGCAATTTTGTACGTGACTGTGTTAACTGTCTATGTGGTTCCAATACCCGACAGTCACAAGGTCCTACAGAAGATATTCTCTGTCTTCTACACAGTCCTGACTCCCATTATCAACCCTCTTGTCTACAGCCTGAGACCCCCTGCGTTACACTGTGCTGATGAATGGCCGGGTTTGGTGCCTGCTAGTGGCAGGGGGCTGGATAAGTAGCCTACTGAGCAGCACCATAGTACAGATTTACTTGTGGCAATTCACGTTTTGTGATTCCAAAGAAATCGACCATTTCTTCTGTGATTTTTCACCCATTTTAAATTTGTCCTGTAGCGACACCCAGACTCTAGAATTGGTGACATTTGTTCTTGCTGTCATAGGCACGTTTCTTCCCTTTCTCCTGACTCTGACATCCTATATTTGTATAATCATCAATGTCCTGAGAAACCCTTCCAACACTGGGAGGAAAAAGGCCTTTTCCACCTGCTCCTCTCACCTCATTGTGCTTGCAATTTTGTACGTGACTGTGTTAACTGTCTATGTGGTTCCAATACCCGACAGTCACAAGGTCCTACAGAAAATATTCTCTGTCTTCTACACAGTCCTGACTCCTATTATCAACCCTCTTATCTACAGCCTGAGAAACAAGGAGGTCAAAGAGTCCCTGAGCAAAGCTATTCTGAAACTAGCAGCTTACAGGAACAGGCACAGAATGTGAGAGGACAAATGTTAGCCCAGAGTAAGGTAAAGATTAATTGATATACATTCTTACACTTAGCCCATTTGAGTTATCCTTCCTTCCTTCCTTCCTTCCTTCCTTCCTTCCTTCTGGATCTTAACATCTTTTGAGTTGTTCAGATTCTTCTGCACTCTCCCTGAATCCAGCAATATTCATTCTCCACTGATTAATACTCTCTGTGTTGTGTCCACACTAAGCAGAAACATTTGACTGGGCAACATTTTATACATATTTGGGGAAACAAACAAACAAAAATTAAAGTCTTTAGAGGTGTGGTTTTCTCAGTGCCCTGCTATGTGAAATTTCCTGCCCTTTCATACATTTTGCAGGGTCAACAAAACAATGAAATGTATATAATCTTAGAGATATGGATTTGGATATATAAAATGCAAATATAAGACGTAAGGCCACAATTTACAAGGCTCATCAGACCCAACTTGCCTCCCTACCCAAATGAAAAAGAAATGAATTAATTAAAAAAAGCAGGAAATGAGCACCCAAAACCACTAGCCAACTGGGCAAATCTCAGCCAATATATCATTTCATGGGGCTTCCTTGCCCCAGGCAGAAATGCTCTAGATGCATAAAAATGTTTCCCACTAGTTTGATGAAAAATGTAATTAAAGAATAAAACCTCATGGTGTCTCCCTGGCATTTTTGTTCTTCTAACCTATTTTTTAGCCTCATTTATCTCCAAAACTTATTTTCATTCTCCTGGTTGCCCTGATTCTCCTGGTTAGGTGCCAACTACTTCCCTGACCAGCCATCCCCACCCTGCTGGTGTCCACTGAGGCCGTGTGAGGTGCCTACATAGAGGTATAGATCATATATGGACTCATGGATGTCCAAAGTGACCAAGGGTATGTCTACACTACAAAGTTAATTCGAACTAACAGACGTAAGTTCAAATTAACTTTCATAGGCGCTACACTAGCGCTCCGCTAGTTCGAACTTAATTTGAACTAGCGGAGCGCTTAGTTCGAACTAGGAAAACCTCATTTTATGAGGATTAAGCCTAGTTCGAACTTACTAGTTCGAATTAAGGGCTGTGTAGCCCCTTAATTTAGCGCTCCGCTAGTTCGAACTTAATTTGAACTAGCGGAGCGCTTAGTTCGAACTAGGAAAACCTCATTTTATGAGGATTAAGCCTAGTTCGAACTTACTAGTTCGAATTAAGGGCTGTGTAGCCCCTTAATTCGAACTAGTGGGAGGCTAGCCCTCCCCAGCTTTCCCTGGTGGCCACTCTGGCCAACACCAGGGAAACTCTAT